GGTGGTACTTACAGTTTCTCATCCAAAGCTTTGATCTCATCATATACCTCCTTGACCCCTTCCTTGACTTTCTGTCTCATAATTCATCAAAATCAAGCACCTCCTCCTCACCTACAAGTCCCCAATCTTACATCCCTCTAGCATCTATCACCTACATCTGCCTCACTCTCTGTCTGTATCTCTTGTTATTCCTGTAGCATATCTCCAGTTTAATTTCTTCATAACCTTCCTCTCACATGCTCCACTCCTTCCAGTCCACTCTCCTTATTTTACTTGGTACTCTCAGCCTTGTGCCTTCTGCCATATGTCATGTCTAACTGTGCAATAGTCTCCCCTTTGTTATCTACCAAACACTCTCTCTCCTCCAAATCCCACTTCTTCCCGCCTTGCTTCTCATTGATAATCTACATACCTTCCTTTTCTTCCCATATCGTGTCTTTGTATTGTCTACTTTAGAGTCTGAATGGAGCAAGGGAAGGGCCTTGCTCGGTGTGTGTAAAGCTCTTTCTATGATGCTGGAATTCTGTGCACATTGTTTTGCACAATAGTAACTCTGCCTCATCAAATTCTTTTCTCATCTCCCTGAAGTTTTAACTGGATATAGGACTCTTCATCACTCTTTGCTCTTAGCTGTTGTGTAGCATTGTTGTGTGGCCCACTAAACAGGTGCCATGTTCCATGTGAGAGGGGGCTGCATTCTAATGGTGCGTCATGAGATTCTTATACAGAGAAAGTGTAAAGTGCTCTAAGGTCTTTTAAAATGAAAGTGCGAGAGAAATGTACACAGTTGTTGCTCCTCTAACCCCTGGTTTGAACAGAAGGCTCAGAACCTGACGTCTGATAATTGTATGGGCAGGGCACAGTGGGTAGTATGAGTCCTGTTCCTGGTGATTGATAGCACTTGGATTTGAGGTAATAAATCTCCCCTGAGATAGGGCTGTGAGAGAGGTGCTAGCACCCAAGGTCGGTCCAGGTATCACCCCCTCCACTCCCCCCCACCTTTGAGTGAGAACCTGGGAGGGGAAGTCTCAGTGCTTTTACCATAAAGAAACTATATTACAGCAGGTCTAAATAGGTGACTGTAGCATCCTGAGCAACAAAAGAAGGGAGTGTTGGACTGGAGTGAGAAACTGGGAATCAGGCAAGAGTGTGGAGCTTGAGCGAGAGAGAGCTGGAAAGGAAAGGAGAGAGTAAGAGAGATGGCTGACAGGAGGAGACTTGCATCGCAGGTGAGCCTTCCCGCTATTTCTCTTTCTCTCTGTTTCCTGCTGTTTTAAATAACAATATAGTACAGAACTGTAGTGAAAGCCCAGCACGGAGACAGTGGTCTGCCACCTGAGAGGGGACCAGTGCTGCCCTCCCAGTGCTGCCTGGCATACAGAGAGACTGTGCCTGGGAGGGGTTGAGGCATATTAGAGCAGCGCGACACTTTTTCAATGAATAGAAATTTCACCAAATATGAATTTTTTTGAAGGAGAGCTCTGAAATTATTCATGAATTGGATCAAACTGGACAATTTCAGCTGAAAAAAACCCTGATGTAAAAAAAATCAAAATGTTTATTTTTTACCATTTTGAGACATTTCATTTTGATTTTTTTCATTTCAAAATGGCATTTTGTTTTCAAATTTGGCCAGTTGAAGAAACCACACAAAAGAGGATGAAGAACACTCAAAATGGCCAAATCACAATGCAAATCTGGAGAAAAAATCATGTGAAATGAAATGAAATGAAATGTTTTGGTTGCTTCAAAGCAAAATTTTCCTGGTTTTTCAGTTCAATGGAAAATTTTGAAAAATTATTTTCAGTTCAAATCAGACTAAACTTTTGCCAGATTTTTTGGTTTGGCCCCTGAATTCCCAAATTCATTATTTACTCAGCTCTATAGTATATGCCCACCTGCACAGTCAGCTGTATATGTTGCATCCTCCACACCCCCTTTGGGGTGAGTTACCCCCACCAGGACAGTAATGAGGAGCTAACCCTGAGTTTGTGTCTAGTTGCAAGAGCTCCTTGCACCTTGTCCCGCTTTGCACACTTACCCAAAATGAGAAATATTTACGGGTCGTGGGGTGGGGGCACATGTGCCACTTTCCAAGCACCACCAGTACAACACTGCTGTGTCCTGGGGGTAGGAAAGTGATATGCCAAGCAGTGATGAAACCAGGTAGCTGAAACGGGGACCTGAGAGCGGTAAGAAAGATGGGGGGAGGGCAAGAGACAGAGAGAGGTACCGCTGAGGGAGGGGATACATGGAGGAAGAACTGGGGTGATTCACAGCAGAGATGAGAGGTTGATGGAAACAGATGCAGACAGGGGAACTCTTGAGGATGCACACAGGAGTGGTGACCTCTTGTAAGAGTCACATAGGGACAGAGGGGCTGAGAGATGCAGAGGAAAAGCCTCACCAGGGGAATCTGGGCAGCTCTGAATAGAGATGCTCCCTTTAACATCCCCACAGAACGAGAGCAGGGAGGGCTGGAAAGCTGCAGTGAGGGATCTCAAACTAGAGCTGTGGAATGGAACATTTGGAGACTCCAAGCAGCGTGGGACTATTGTGTTGGACCCAGCAGAGGGTCGTCTTCCCCACAAAGTGGTCTGCAGAGTGAAAAGCAGGGCAATCCCTGTTCTCAGGGGGATTGTGTGGGGACTGGGCAGCCCCTTTATCATGGAGAAAGCACTAAAACCCCAGGATATACACATACATGACTGGGGCCATTCAGAGAGGCTGACTTGCTTTAGCCTCCACAAGAGGAAAGAAGGAGCTGCTGCTGGC